ATATAATAAAAACTAATATGCAAATTGACTGAACAGAGGAACAACTGGTGGAATGACTGGTCACATAACACACACTGACCACCAGGGGCCAAACGCTCAATGCAGGAGCTGCCCCTTGGTGGTCAGTGTGCTCCCACATCGGGAGCTCTGCTCAGCCACAAGCCAGGCTGCCGGCTGCCAGTACAGTGGTGGTGATGGGAGCCTCTCCCGCCTCCTCAGCAGCGCTAAGGATGCAGCTAGGCCTGCTCCCCGCTGGCAGGTGGACATCCCCCGAGGGCTGCCGGGCTGCCAGAGGGATGTCTGACTGCCAGCTTAGGCCCAATCCCCCAGAGAGCAGGCCTAAGCCAGCAGGTGGTCACTCCCCAAGGGGTCCCAGACTGTGAGAGGGCACAGGCAGGGCTGAGGGACCCCCCACCCCCTTGACAAGTGCACAAATTTTTGTGCACCGGGCCTCTAGTAAATAAATACAAAGAAATATAAGAGTATTTGCCTTATAATAATTAACTGAGTTGTACATTTGTTCTGTATGTTTTTCTTTTTGTCTTATTTTACAATAAAGGGCTTTGTTTTTATTTTTAAAAAATATTTTTATTGATTTCAGAGAAGGGAGAGGGAGAGAAACATCAATGATGAGAGAGTATCACTTATTGGCTGCCTCCTGCATGCCCCACACTGTGGATCGAACCCACAACCTGGGCATGTTGTGCCCTGACCAGGAATCAAACTGTGACCCCCTGGTTCATAGATCGACACTCAACCACTGAGTCACCCCAGCTGGGCAGGTTTTTTTGGGTTTTTTAAAAGTGAGCTCAGGAGCCAGCCACCTGGATTCAAATCTCGGCTCTGCCACTTACTAGCTGTATCATCTTGGGTAAGTTTTAAATCCCTCTGGGCCTCAGTTTCTTCATCTGTAAAATGGGGATGATGTTATAGGTTGTTTTGAAAATTAAACAAGTCAGTGCCTGGCACAGAGTAAGCATTGAAAACATTTTTGCAATTATTATTGCATTGTTATTCCCTATTTCCCTACCCCTCTCTCCGTGTGTCCTCAAGCTTCTGTGATTCCCCTCTCAAGGAAAGGGAAGGGAGAGCAGCCATGGCATTCCTTAATGGCTATGGTAAGTGACAAGATAGTTCCAGCTGAAATCTGGGATCTGGCTCTATGGCCAGGGCGTGACTGTCCCCACAGAATGGTCCTACAAGGTGGCCCCGGTCCTGTGGACTGTGCCTGAGGCTCAGGTTGCAGGAATAGAATATCCCTTCACTCCTCTGGAGGGGCCTGCCACCTGCTCCCCTTCTCTGCTG